ATTTTTATCCTTATCCATTTCAATAAATGTATAGACAGAAGGTGGAGCCAGGAGAGACGGCACATGCCTGTACTGTCAGCTCTTCTCCAGGCTGAGGCGGCAGGAGTGCTTAAGCCCAGGCCAGGAGTCAGAAGCCGGCCTGTACCACACAGTGAGGACCCGTCTCTTTAGGACAAAATGCAGAGGTAAATGTTGCCTGTAAGTTGTGTAAAATAAAATGCAAAAGGAACTCATCAAGATGAAAGTAACTTCTAAGAGAGGTCTATGTTATGGGTAGACCTTACAATATACGATATTCTGGAGTTTGTCAAGTTCTTTAAGAACTGAGTTTGGCATCACTACGACCTCCATGTCTACTCTGACGACTTAGAACCTCAGTTCTGATCAGTAGCTGTCTCACACAGTCCATTCAGATCTCTAAGCCTTCCTTTCTGCATCAGCAACATAGGGAGAATACACACAGGCCTTATTGTACTTGGAAGGTTCCGATAAGATGTACATGAAAACACGATTACATCCGAAAGAATAACCAAAAGGCTCACTTTGTTCTCTCACAACCTCATCTACGAAATCCTACAGAACATGACACAGAGGCTTGCCATACACACCAAGCAAGGAGTCTCCACAGCTACTTGCATGCTTGTGTATAAGGTACAGTCTATTAAGTCTCATCATTATTTGTTCATTCTTTCACAGTTTTTCAATATTCTGAAAAAGGAGTCCAGCAATTCCTTGTTACAAAGGCACACCCATTGTGAGGCTTATTCTGTGAAAGAAAGTAAGAGCCAAACTGAAGTTTAAATACAAGAGCTGTAAGACATTTTCTCTGTACTAATAAAATCTCTGCCATTAAAATGAAAGAAATGAGCTGCTCATATTTCTATGTCTTTATGATATAATGTTTTCTGTTTCACTGGGCTTAGTGTTTGTTCAAGGAACTGGTTACCCAGAATTATCTGTAGTTAGATTCATCTATTTCTAAACTCCTAAAGGATTTTAGACTGAAGGCTGCTGGCCCTGGCTGATGCCTATCACCCAAAAAGCCTATGTCACCTGGTTACCAGGAAACAACCAAGTCAGGCTAGTGGCTCACAATGCCCCGCCCCACAGCCCCACCGCCCCACCCAATGGCTCACAATGCCCATCCCTGCTGCTGCCCACCTTGTGGTCACCTGCCCTAATGTGTGACTGCATTATTCATCCTGGGCTGCCTAAGCTTTCCAGTCCTGAAAAAAGTGTGTGTGTGGAGGGGAGGGTGGTTGTTATTGGAAGTCACCCTGGGCGCTGAACTCAGCAGAAAACCCTGGTTACTAATGTCAGTTCCATTAGCATCTCTGGTTTTCTGAGTCTGGTAGCTTTCATTTGCTCAACAAATGTAGTGATATGCAATGTTTGACTGATTTTGTAACTAAATGCTCCTCTCCTGTCTTACAAGTGTTAGTTTTTGTCTTCAATTTGACCATAGCAAAAAAATGGAATGTTTCCTCTCTCCTCCCCTTTCCCATCCTGTAGGAAGGGGAGCCATGAAAATAAACTCTCTTCCACAGGCAGGGTCTGGCCTTCCAACTCTCAAGTCTGTGCCTTACAAATTCAAGTCTAAAGTCATTTCATCTCTTTTGGAACCTGTAACCATGAGCTAGCTCTACCTGTCTCTCAGAACAAGGAGGTGAACAAAGCCCGTGAAGTTCCTGGAGTAGGGCTGAAGAGACATTCATGTCAAAGTGGGAATTTTAAAGGAATCAGAGCTCCACGGCTAAACTTTTGGGTAAAACCAAAACAAAACAACTTTTTTTACAGCTCTGGCAGCAACATTTCACACCTTTTGGGGTCATTTGAAGCATGTCCCTCAAGTTTTCCTTCGGTTTTCAAATTACAATTGGAAGAAATCAAGCTGCTTCTGTCAAGGTGACTTAAAACCATCTATTAAGAACAACATGTAATCTCTTCCATGGCAAACTCTATTTTAAATTTTAGAAGTCTCCAAATATTTGAGTCTGAATTATCCCAATGATTAGCTTCCTTATCGAATAGGAGAAAAGAAACGATTGGGCCTTTAACCGGCTCCTTCACTGAGGTACCATACTAGCTGGATAGGTCAGGCTAGAGGATGGGATGGAGGCTCCCAAACTGGAGTATTTGAATTTTCATCGAGGAAAGGGAGAGACTAGACCAAAAAGGCCTCAAGCAAGAAGGCTCAACAACAAAGACAAGAGGCAGGACTAGCCTTTGTCCCCCATGCCCAGTCCTAGGAAAGCTGGCTATAGGCAGCGGGGAGCTGGAAGCTGAGGATGTCTCTGGGGTGATGGGATGGGAAGCAGGCGGGGGAGGTGGTGGCCAGAGATGTGCCAGAGAGCAAATGGCACCCGTGGCTTCTTTACCTTTGCGCCTCTTTGTGTTGGTGGCAGGCTCTGCAGTGGTGGATGCTGGTGCTGCAGCTGCCACAGACTCAGTCTCAGATTCACAGCAAGGTGCCACCTTCTGCCTGCAGCAGGCACAACAGAGGCCAGCCCTGGGGCCTAGGCAGCAACTGAGTGTATTTCCCATGAGGGATCTAGAAGGGGACCTTCAAAACAACGCAACACACAAAATCAAAAACAAAAAATGACAACAACAACAAAAAAGAAAAAAACAAAACTAAGCAACACACAAAATCAAAAAAAAGAAAACAACAACAACAACAAAGAAAAAAACAAAGCAACAGAGCAAGCGCCAAGGGCACAAACACTTCCGCGAGAGTAGTCGGAGCTCCTCCTCTCCCCACTCCCAGCTTCCGACTGAAGGCTGCTGGCCCTGGCTGATGCCTGTCACCCACAAAGTCTCCTATGTCACCTCGTTACCAGGAAACAACAAAGTCAGGCCAGTGGCTCACAATGCCATGCCCCACAATCCCATCCGATGGCTCACAATGCCCATCCCTGCTGCTGGCCACCTTGGCCACCCTGCCCCTCTTGGTGACTGCAATATTCATCCTGGGCTGCCTGAGATATTCCATGTTTCACTACAGGCCTCAAAGGGCTCTGAAATGTCCCTTCATAGATTCTATATAGAGAGTGTGTCTAACCTGTGAATAAAAACTAAGGTTTCATTCTGTGTGATAAATCCACAAACACAAAGCATTTTCCCAGAATCCTTTGGGGCCCACCTCTCACCTTCAGCTTCCTGTTCCTGGTTATTTGGGCTTCTGTCTTGTGTGCTCTGTCAGGTTCTAGGCCTT